ATATCATACCATTTTCTAAAACGTTCTTGTTCAAGATTTAGAAGAAAAAAAAAATTTTGTTGTTCTGAATTTTTTCTGCTATGGCCTTTTTTCGTTATATGTATAACACACACAACATTTGGGCTTCATTGCTAAAAAATCAATTCTCGTGTTATTGGTTATGTACAAGCACCTACTTCAGTGTGACTCTTTGAATTAAACAAACATCCGACAAAATGTGATAGAAACATAACATTTTAATATCTCAACATAAAAAATCAGAAAAAATTAGCGTGAGATTTGAACCCCATCTTAAAAACAATCCATTATTTACAGTCACAGTTTAAGCGCTACCGATGGAGCCACGGCGACTCTTGAAAACATAGTCGATATTAAGAAGCTATATAGGTAAAATTTAGTGATGTTCCACTTTTTATTAAAAAAAAGTTGTTTTTTAGGTATTAAGGACACACTAAACCAATTTCATTTTTGAGGGGAAAAGTTGTATAAATTACAACAACAACAAAAAACATAACTTTTTTTTTGGTTTGAAGTGTCCTTCTAGGGGGATTCCCTGTTTTTCCAACCTAAAAAGACGGTAAATTCCGCATATTTGACTTTCATCCTTTTTTGGAGGTTAAATTAACTATTTTCCAGTCATAACATAATACATAAAATCGAGATATTGATCAAAAAACATTTTTATTTCATGATTTTATCATAAATTTTATTCTTTCAGCACTTTTTGAAATTGGCCCTTCTGTGAAAAAATTTCAGGGGAAATTGGCCCTACCTCTTTCAGATGCATAGTTAAGTATAGAGGCCACCATACTGTTAAACAAAACACATGCTTGACTATGTTCAATATAAACTCGCATGGGAGTGTCGAATAAGGAAGAAGGTACCCTTGTTCCTTGCTGAGAAATTCTCTGCGAGTGTAAGAACTTTCCATTGAAATGTAGCAACACGTCTAAGTAGACATATGAATTTCTAGCTCATAGTTGTCAAAGAAAAAGATATTAATAACAGTTTGCTAACCATTTCTGAAAACGACTACTTTTGTCTTATCAGTATTAACAGTTTATTCCACTTTTTACAATAAAATGAAAGCTTTTCTATTTTAAGACTTGTAATTATGTTTCGGCAGATTTTCCAAACAGGACGGTATTATCTTCAAACAAAATTAAATAAATTAGGTATCCATTGATATTAAAAACACAGTTATCATTATCCATAGGAATATCATGAATAATGTTATTCACGAAAAATAAAAATAACAGAGGTGATAACGGTTCACCTTGTTTCACTCCCAAGAAATTGTCAAAAGCCTCTGAAAATTCACCCTCGGTGCGAATTCGGTGACGCCATTTATCAGCTTGAAAGGATTTAAATTTATGATTGATAGCGATAAAAAATAAAAAAGTCAAATTAACAAAAATCAAAATATGTTGAAGTTTATAGGTTTAAAAGCTCTTCATATTTTAAATTGGCTTTTAATTATCAAATATTTTGGCATCGAGAGTCACTGAAGAGACATTTATTATCGAAATGCACATCTGGTGCAGATAAATTAGTACCGTTTATGTTATTGCTGGTGCCTTAATAATTGGTGCCGTTAAAGTTATAATTTGAATGTCAATAACTACAAAATAGCTGAAAAAAAAAAAACATAATCAAAGCAGTTCAAAAGAAAAGAAAGAAAGAACATAAGCCCTTTATATTAAATCTTAAAGCTAATACGCTTACACAATTACAGATTACTAAATCCACGGTTGGTAAGAATGATATTTACATATGTGGAATGTCAGGGCATTACTTAGAAAAGGTAATTACAAACGTTGAGAAGATAATTTAATGTTTTTTAATGTGCTATTAAATGACTTAAAATGCTTTCACTCCACTAGTACTTAATCATGAAGAAAGGGATTGTCATGATCTTGATTAGTACATATACATAAAATATTAAGGAATACAGTTTTTACATCGGATGACCGTGAGGGCATTCCAGTGTATTGCTGTCGCCTAGATTTCCATTACGTAACTTTCGTGTTGGGATTGTAACCGATCTATAAACATGATAAATACATGGACATTATCGAGTGCAAAATAACATTCCTTATCGCTTGTTATAAATTCATTTTTTCAATGGATACTCCTAAAAATATTTTTTTTAGAACATAAATTAATAATATGAAAATTTTTGTTGTTACAAATATATATATATAAGTAAAAAATCTTTAATATCTATGCACACATACAGAAAATGTGTGTTAACGCATGCGGAAGAATATCTCAACTAAAATGAAGAACATTTGCAATCTCCCATGCAGAGTTATCGGTCCTCGCTCTCTCTCAAGGACCGATAACTCTGCATGGGAGATTGAAAGTTTGGCGGGAAAATATGAATACCTACTCAAATCCAATCTATTAGAAAAATCGAATTATTACAGAAGAGCGTCTTCCATGCACTTGCACTGCACTATTATTAATATAGTAGAATAGAATGATATACAAATGGAGGAAAATTATATATACATGTAACTGTAATATACAAATATTAATATAAGTGTGTACTGATTGTATCACTTCAATATCATATTTATTACGGTGAGGTTGAATTCCCTGTCATTTATTTATCATCCACGCACGAACTTGTCTAAGAAAAAAAATATATCTGTACATTAACCTCACATTCAGGTATAGAGATCTGATTTATTTTTTTGTGAGACAAGTGCTTGTGACCATCCACAAGAACTTGCAGCTTCCGATGTTCAGTACTTCAGTACTTATATTATATATATATTGTATACCTGTATGACACTTCGTCAATCTAAGTATATGTATAAGAGAATGATAATCCTTTTCTTCATGATTAAGTACGAACGTTACAAACTTATAAACTTGTAAAGTGTTAGATAGATCTTTATTCTCATTAACTAAATTACATAGTTACAGAGATGATAATATACACAATATAACACATTTTGCATGTGTGAACATTACATAAATAACTGTACTTTAACCAGGAGGACAGACTTTCACTGATATATAATTAATAAATCTACACATTTTTCCTAGTAAAACAATATTGACTGTAGTGAATACATCATTAAATTTAAGAATATTAACATTTGTACAACAATAGTGTTGTAAATATTTATGTTGTTCTTTTTTTAAAAAAAGGACAAGACATTACATAATGGAATTCATCGCCGATGTCAGCAGATTCACAAAGGTGACATAATCTCTTTGGTCTTTGAACATTTTGCCACCTCCCTGTCTCCACTGGCAAACAGTGATTGCCATATCTAAATTTACACGATTGCAGTGCATTATTAAACGATAAAACTGAAATATACTTTTCAAATTTAAGTTCAGTTTTGAATAATTTATAACATAAACCTTTTGATGATTGATTTACATCTGCAAACCATTCTTGTCTAAACTGATCTTTTAAATTTTGTTCAATGCTTAATACAATCCATTACTTTGAGATATAATCTTGATTTTGCCATATATTTGACATTCCACAATTATCAAAAATACTCTTGATAAAAGACAACCATTTGTTTTCAATTCCATAATTGTTATAATTAATATTTATCAACTTATATAACATTGACGAAATCTTGTTGTCATGTGTGTTATTAAGAAGGTTGCATCAAAATTTTATCATCCATAATTTAACGTGTTTAGAAATCGGATATCTTCCCAATTCCCCATAAATCATGAAATTAGGAGTCGATCTTTTTAATCGTAAAACATGTTTACAAAAATTCAAATGTACCCTTTCCAAAATGTCAAGGTTTTCGTATCCCCAAATTTCGGCCCCATATAAAAGAATAGGTAAAACAGCCTTATCAAACATATCGATCTGGCACTCTATAGATAGATGGTTAGATCTGAACTTCTTAATAACATAGTACATAGCTTTAATAGCTTGATCTCTAAGATATTTTCTAGTTGCAAAAAAAGATGCATTTCTAGAGAATATACCACCAAGGTATTTATATTTCTTAGGGAGCTACCATTTGATCTTTAGGGGGGGTGGGGGCTAGGATGAAATTTGAAAAAAATAGGCAGGACAGGAGTTTTGAGTAAATAAAAAAAGGCAGGATGAGATTATTTGCAAAAAAAAAAGGCAGGATGACAATTTATGTAAAAAAAAAGTCAGGATAAACTAAAAAAAATGGCAGGACCGAATAGAGCGAAAAATAAAAAGGCAGGACCGAATAGAGGGAAAAATAAATAGGCAGGACAAAATTTTTCATCCTAGCCCCCCCCCCCCCCCCCCCCCCCCCCCCCCCCCCCCCCCCCCCCATAAAAATCAAATGGTAGCTCCCTTAACAATTTATATCTCTTCGTTATTAATGTAAACTTTCAAATTATTTTGTGGTCTACCTTTTGAAAAAATCATTACTTTTGTCTTGTTGACATTAATTTTAAGTTTCCACTTTTCACAATATTAAGAAAAACTATTTAAAAGTAACTGTAAATCTGTGCTTGATTCAGCAAGTAAAATCGAATCATCAGCATACAACAAGACAAATATCTTAAAATAAATATCCAATTCATTTTCTTTGTCCGACGTAATTGAATGTACACCTTTTATATCACTATTTTCTAATCAAAGTATCGTCGATGTTGTGATCCAGCCATATTCATAGCTAGTCTGATATTCTTTCTGACCATATTTTTTCAATATTTTTTTCTTTTTTCAATTCCAATCTTACTGTTAAATTTCTATGTTATTGCCCACAGGTAGGGAATTTCGCAATATTGATGCAAATAATGATATTTATATATATATATATATTGATTTTTCAATTTTAGACTCTGTCAGATTTTTTTTATATAAATATTTGCAATTTAATGGTATTGACATGAATGGAAAGGGAAATCGTCAAACAAGTAATATATTTTTTTATATGCCATTAATAATAAATGGCTTAATAATTTCCAGAAAGAGGCCTTGGAAATGCACTTTCTCAACAACAAAAGTGAAAAAAAATAATAATGGAATTTAAGTAAATAGACTTAAATTCAGTTATCGCTGGGGCCACTGACGGATTGTGTTTCATGTTTTAGATTTACCTAACATGAGTGACGTTGTATTCTGTGACGTAATTTAGTCCTTTACAGAATTTCATCGCAGCAAGCAAGCTGTTTAAATTTCGTAAGCGGTAAAAATTTGTACATTGGATCATCATCAGACGTCATTTATGCAAACCCCCAGAGCTCTGCATTAGTATGTTCCAGTTCACAGTTGATAATTTACCAGGTAATCATCATATTTACAAAAGAGTATATTACTTTTAAGTTAAATCCCTACATGTACATGTGATTCTAACATATAACAAACATATACATGTATAAAGATTAAGGCAACTTTTATTTTTTTCTTTCAATCTTATGGTTTAGATTTAAAAGATTTGTGTAATGATTATATCTCAGTTTCTAAACTTAAATCCACAAAATATTGCTGAATGTGTTATTTTTACAATTTATAGGGGATGCCACATCATGCGTTAGAAATAAAAAAACAATTCTTAAATATAAGGTCACAATTACATATTATTATAAATATATTACATGTGAAACTTTTAAATGTTGTTTTGTATATCATCATATGATTTGTGACATATGATTTGTAATGGAGAACACTATTGACTAATATAATATTATTTATCTTGAATATAATAATTACATAATCTGAATATTACAAATCGATGTGCATGTACTGAATGAATACAGATGTTGCAGTAAAGTACCACAATTAAAAAGGACAAAATTTATAGAAGTGTATATTTATTGATTACTATTTTAGGACAGACTGCAAATATTTCAGTTTGCCCAAACCCTACCAACCAGTCTCAGGTGTGTGGGAAATTTTCATTATTTTTAATTTTATTTTTTTTATATATTTAAGGGAAAATAGGGGCCAAAATGGTTTTATCTTGTAAACATTTTTTAATGAGACTATTACAGAGTTTTGTGTAAATTGTCAGACGCAGATAAGCGAGGATATATACATGTATGTACATGTATGTACATGTATATAGAACCAAATACAATGAAAGTCCCAACTATGTATTGGCTTCCGAAGCTACACAAAACACCTTACAAATATAGATTCATTTCGTCTTCAAGCCATTGTTCCACTACTAAATTGTCTATTCTTCTTACCAGTACACTTGGTACAATCAAAAACCTGATAATAAATTGTTCAAATAAGGCCTTCGAAAATAGTGGAATTAATTACTTTTGGAGAGTCAAGAACTCGTTGGAAGTACTTGATAAATTGCATGCATATATTGGTGATTTTGAATCTGTTCAAAGTTTTGATTTTTCTACCCTATATACCACATTGCCTCACATTCTCATTAAGAAAAAATTCACACACCTAATTAAATGGGCATTTAAAAAGTCAGAATGTGAATATATATGTTCAAACTCTTTTAGGTCATTTTTTAGTAGCAATAAACAAAAAAACTATGTCAATTGGACATGCTTTGATACTATATGTGCCCTTGAATTTTTACTAGATAACATTTTTGTTCGCTTTGGAGATTCCGTATATCGTCAGGTTATCGGAATTCCAATGGGGACTAACTGTGCACCACTTATTGCAGACCTTTTTTTGTATTGCTATGAGTTACAATTTATGACAAAAATCAGTAAAGACCCATCGAAACAACATCTGATACACAAATTTAATAATACTTTTAGATATTTGGATGATATTTTGGCTCTCAATAATGACGACTTCAGTATGTATACTAAAGAAATTTATCCTGTTGAACTTACTTTAAATAAAGCTAATACTAACAATGACCACTGCCCTTTCCTCGATCTTGATATCTTTATCATTAACGGAAAGCTTAATACTAAAATATATGATAAAAGAGATGATTTTTCATTTCCTATCGTTAATTATCCATTTTTAGTTGGTGATGTTCCCTTGTCACCATCTTACGGTGTTTATATATCTCAACTTGTACGATTCGCTCGTGTATGTAACAACGTTTTAGATTTTAACGAGAGAAATTTATGTATTACTGAAAAATTATTACACCAGGGTTTTCGATATCACAAACTAGTCAAAACATTTACTAAATTTTATCATCGGTATAAGGACATCATTCGTAAATATAGCTCAACATGCAGACTTCTTATACGTTCAGGTATTTCACATCCAATTTTTTATGGAAATATTCTTTATAAAGCACAAAAATGTCAGTATTCACCTCTGAAACTAACAAAACCTTTAAATAGACTTATTAAGAAGGGATATAGTTATGATACTGTTGTCAGGTCATTAAAGATTGCATATTTTGGCGTTAATATTGATTCACTTATAGGGTCTTTGCATCGGCACTAAACACATTTATTTAAAAACCAGTTGTTGGCATGACACGGGTTATGTTCTTCTCATATATGTTATGATGGTATGATACTAAACCCCTAACGGGAAGGATTGTGCCTGATATTCATATGATGAAGACATAATCTTTCAATCAGTTTAATTGAAGTCTGGAGCTGGCATGTCAGTTAACTGCTAGTAGTCTGTTGTTATTTATGTATTATTGTCATTTTGTTTATTTTCTTTGGTTACATCTTCTGACATCAGACTCGGACTTCTCTTGAACTGAATTTTAATGTGCGTATTGTTATGCGTTTACTTTTCTACATTGGCTAGAGGTATAGGGGGAGGGTTGAGATCTCATAAACATGTTTAACCCCGCCGCATTTTTGCGCCTGTCCCAAGTCAGGAGCCTCTAGCCTTTGTTAGTCTTGTATTATTTTTAATTTTAGTTTCTTGTGTACAATTTGGAGTTTAGTATGGCGTTCATTATCACTGAACTAGTATATATATTTGTTTAGGGGCCAGCTGAAGGACGCCTCCGGGTGCGGGAATTTCTCGCTGCATTGAAGACCTGTTGGTGGCCTTCTGCTGTTGTCTGTTCTGTGGTCGGGTTGTTGTCTCTTTGACACATTCCCCATTTCCATTCTCAATTTTACATGTAATATTAGCACAAACTAGTACAATTTAAGTAATTATTTACAGCTTGTCTTGCAGTCTGCTCCAAACCAGTTAAAAATCTTTAGTATTTAGGTGTCGACAACAACTTTAATATATATATATACTAGAATTTATTGTAATCTTCATCCTGGAAGATTCTAGTAGTTGCTCAAATAGATGAGTATTTTACGCTGTACATTTAGGTGCCAAGCTTTGTTAATTTTAGGCTGGAAGCATTATGACAACAATTTCATTTGCCTAAAACCATTGGCCCTACTGGTTGCTGGGCTACTGTTTTGAATCCAAATTATGGTTGATATTTATTAATGAAAATTATAGTACAGGTTGAATTTCAGTTAGCATGAACACTGGGACTAATTTGAAATGTTATGCTTTTAATTATGAGGGTACCTAGACGTTGTTAAGCAGCTTGTTTGTGTTTTTTTTTTTTTTTTGTGTAACACAGGTCATCCTTTATAACTTGTTGGTTGTCCTAACAGGAGACATTTACCATGTTTACTTTGCATAATCTATGCCTTCTTATGATAATCCAAGTTTAAGGTCACCTAGACCTCAAATGGAAATAAGTTTTCATTTGGGCAACCTGGTTCAAACCCAAGACGAGACAGAGAGTGGTTGCTGCTGTTATACTTAATGTTTGTTTCTTCTTAAATGGATTTAGACTATAGTATACAGGTCCTCATAGACATTCTTTGAAATTTGCATTTGCCTGAGTTGATTAGGTTCTTCTTGCCTTGTATTTATGGGCAGTTTTATTACATTATAAGAAATTCACTTCTACATAGACATCTTACACATTCAGGTATTTCCCATCCAATCTTTTATGGTAATATACTTTACAAAGTACAAAATGTCAGTTTACCTCAAAAGCTAACTAAACATTAAAGCAAACTTATAAAGAAGGAATACTGTTGCCTGCATAAAAAGTGGCATATTTTGGCTTCAATATTGATTCACTTGCACAGTCCTTGCATCGGACAAAAACTCATTTATTCTTAAACCAGTTGCTGGTTGATACGGGTTATGTTCCTCTAATTTATGTTATGATGATATGATACTAAACCCCCCATTGGAGGGATGGTGCTAGATATTTCATATAATGAAGACATAATCTTTCGAACAGTTAAATTGAGGTCTGGAGCTGGCATGTCAGTAATTGTTAGTAGTCCATTGTTGATTTATGTAATGTCGTCATTTTTCAATTTTTGTTTTGTTTGTTTTGTTACCTATTCTGATATTGGACTCGGACTTCTTTAAACTGTGTGATTTTTACTGTGCGTATTGCTGTGTGTTTGTTTGTTCTGCATTTGGTTGAGATTTTAAATAACTTGTTTAACCTCTCCGCAATTTAGTACCTGTTCCAAGTCTGGAGCCTCTGGCCTATGTTAGCCTTGTATGAATTTTTATTTTAGTTCATATATTTGGGAGTTTAGTATGACATTCATTATCACTGTTCTGGTACAAATTTTTCATTATGGCTGAAGCCATTTCTGGTTTTTAGGTGGATCGCTTCAGATGCTTGGTCCCAACTGCAGATGTTTATCCTGCTATAACCCCATGGGTTTTATAACTGTTATTTCAGACCTTTAGTAACCATTTAATTGTAAGTTCCACAGCACCCAGTACATACAGATGTATCAGAGAGGACAGTCTTTCTTTTTTCATGAGTTCAGATCTCTAATTGTTTTAATGAATACATTTCCTATCTCTCTCTATGAATTGTTAAGGTATTGCTTACTTGTATATTTTGTATCTCTCTCAACAAAAATTGTGACATTACTTTTACTAGGTTTGGATACTTTTTTTAGGAAAATTTAACAGATGTGTCAAATAAAATAAAAAAATTTGAGGTTTGTCAGTTTTTAAGAAGGTATTAAACACTCCAGGCCTTTACATTTACCTTAACCAGAGTCATGCTGAAGTCTAACAAATATTTCCTTATCTTGTTGTTGGCTAAACTTGGTATGAATTCAGTGTGTTTGAAGCTGTCTTTTCTACTGTTTTTGAGGATTATTAAAGGGTCGGAGATCCAATGCTGACAACTTAATACAGGGGTTACAGAAGAATTGTTATTTTTCTCGATTAATTATGCTTTAAATTGTATTGGTATTACATATGTAACATATACTTCCATGTAGCTATTTGCTGTACAAGAATAGTAAGTATGTTTTTGTAGCAGACCGACATCCTCCAGATGGGGTTGACTAAGGTCTAGGCACGGAAATGAATCTTTGTGG